CCTGGCGAAAGCAGAGAGTTCTAAGACTGTTTTCAGAAACATCTCAATGCGAGTTACACATTAGTTTTTGGGACGTTTCTGAAAAACGTCCTACATGCAGTTTATACACGCTCTTTCTGAAGGGTCGAAAACTGTGGGGAAACGTGCTGCTTTGAGTTTTGAGAGAGTTTTCAGGCAGTTTCTGTAACGGTGGGCATCGAGTTTTCAAGCAGTTTCCATAGAGTTTCTGTCGGTGAGCATCGAGTTTTTAACTAGTTTCCAGAGAGTTTCCAGAGAGTTTCTGTAACGGTAGGCCTCGAGCGTTTACAACGTTTCTCGTGCGTTTCGGAGTCCGGTGTGTGGATCTTGGGAGAATATATTTGCAAACAATAGCAATTTCTATTGCTTGATTTGATATGTTTTTTAATTTTAAAATGCCGATGTAAAAAAAAATATGAAAATAATCATTTGATTTGCGGATGTTTGCTCCGATGCTCGCATCGAGGCGGCTGCCCCTTTGCTATTTCGGATTCCTACGGGCATCCGAGTTGGTCACTCCCTTAAAGGCTATGATCATGGCTTGTTGGGCTGCTACATAGAAGGATACACGCCTACCGCTGCCAGCGCCGGGAACAGAACCCGGCGCTGCCAACTCAGCGTCCTCGCCTCGTTCGCAACCAACTGAGCCATCCAGCCCGATGCGGGGGCGTGTCCGGACGGCGAAAGACATTCCAGCCTTTGTCCCGCCGGCCCGACACCGCCGGGCACGCCGCTTGCCCACCCCCTCCTCTTCCTCCGTCCCTCTCCCTCCGGGGAGGGCGTTTGCGGTAGAGGGGGAAGAGGTTATTATCGTGTTTCCAAAAACGCTGTAGAAACACGCTGCAATCGGTTTCCAGCGTGCTGTGGAAACCTTTTAAAAACTCGCACCGTGAATCGAACGGTGTCTATGTCTGCAAAACTCGTTCAATAACTGATTGGACAATTCCAATATGTTACAAAGATTTCACGAGTATTTTTTAGGATTCCTAAGTTCCTTACATTTGAGGGGGGGGGGCACTTTTTGAAATTTTAAGGATTTCAAAAAGTCACAGGACATCCATGGATTTGATGCAGTATGAACAAAAGTGTTCAGCTGTTCAACACCTGCAAGTGTGCAAATTCCTGTTTCACAGATCCAAGTGCTCAAATCGCTAGTTATACACTTGTATGTGTGCAACTTATCAGTTACACCCGTACATGTTTAACAGCCCTGTCTAACGCGCCCTTTGTTGAACACTTAAATGTGTACAACTGCTGAGTTGAACACTTACAAGTGTACAACTAGTAAGTTGAGCACTTAGATGTGTGTTACAGGGAGGTGCACACTTGCAAGTGAACAGTTGAACATTTGTGTTAACAGTTTAGGATTTCACGCAGTTTCTGATGATCTCACAGTTTTCTGGAAAATTGTATGAAGGCTTTTCAGGGAGATTTCCGCTTATTGAGTACTAATTGTTGGGGATGTTTCAAAAACCAGCTGTAATATGTTTCCAGTACAGTACAGTCGAATCGACGTCGACGATGCTCGAAAAACGCAAATTTTGCCACTCAAATCGAGGTGTCGAGGTCGAATCGACGTCAAAGAAATTATCATTTTTGGCTGGGTAAGTTTCTCATAACGTTGAAGAAACCGTTTAGAAACTTATGCCGTATGAGGTTATCACCATGTTAACGGAAACCACACAAAAACACACTGTACCTACTTTTCTTAGAGTTTGCAGACCGTTTGTCAGAAACCACGAGCAAACCGTTTTTCGTAACGCTGTGGAAACCGTTTGGAAACTCACTCTGGTGACAGTTATAACCGTGTTTCTGGAAACTCCTAAATAACTCTGTACCACATGTTTCTCGGCTGTTTCCGGCGAGTTACAGCACCGTGTTTCTACAGGGTTATTGAAAACTCTGTAGAAACAGCCACATCCCGGTTTCTTCTTCATCAGTAAGAGTTTTCACGCCGTTTACGCCGGTGAAACTGGCTGGAAACGTTCTGAAAACTCTGAAGAAACATGAAACTAGAGTTACCGTTTTCGCCAGGACACGACGCTACCTACCGCAGCTCTGCCTCGCTGGAAAAAAAATATGTATATCTGTATAAGAAAATGTCATTTTATTTTAGACTGATCTCTTCCGCAAACACGGCTATCCTTCCGAGGGACACTACGCCACAACCGATGACGGTTACATCCTGCGCCTAGACCGCGTGCCTCGGCCTGGAGCTCCTGCAGTCCTGGTGGGTAGCCCCTTGACCTGTGGCTCGGCGTGCTACGTCGGACTTGAGAAGGACTCTCTAGGTAAGAGGCGAGCGTTTGTGACACTACTTGTTGTGATTTATTTTACATAACGAGGGCCCCCGCAAGTGCACAAATTCATTTTTGGTGCTCGGGTTTTTGCCATTTCGAAAAAGAATAATCCATGTTTATATACTTTCACAATTTTGTGTTGCTGTGGAAATAGTCTACATTTTTCTTCTTTTGTGTAGCTTTTAAACTTCATGACGCTGGATACGATGTTTGGTTGGGAAATTTTAGAGGAAGTGGTTTATCTACAAATCATACGCACCTTAAAGTTACGGATAACGAGTTCTGGAACTACAGGTAGGTAGTAGTGTGCTAGTTGTGAGGGCTAATATTTTCGCTGATAATATGCACCGAGCTTATGTTTAGTGGCAGGTGCGGACTCGGCGTAGAAACGCTAGGGGGGAAACCTACGAATGGGGCCCGGTGTGCCTACTTTCCAGGGGTGTATGTACAAAGAGCATACATTACTTTAGCACTATAATTGTATCTGTAATACTCTACTAAAGAATGTTTGCCGTTTACGTGTAGCTCTTACGATCCAGTAAAAGAACCCATCCAGACACGCGTTCTTGCACGCGGTTTGGGACCTTGAAATTCAAAAAGAGTTATTATTGCGTTGTAACCTGTAGACGTTCCACTTTATTTTAAGAAAAGATTGGTGCACTTTCCTTGAGTGAAGACACCAAGAAAGCAATTTTAGTTCCTCCGGACACATGCCCCGCCTAGCCGGCGACCGCGCGCGCCCGAAAGTGTTAGTCGGCATTTTCACTCACATAGTCCATGATAAACTGTATGAAGCGCCTTAGCACCTGTATATTTTGAATTTGCTTTTGGAACTGGACTGTCTCGTTACCGGCCGGCAGGCCAGTTTTTTCCCTATCGAGAGTAAAAGCTAGCTGAAACCTTATACTTATGCAGAATTATTGTATAAGGTATACGGTTTCATCTCATCGAGGGACCACTCGCGTAATCCTGTGTTCAGATGAGGGTGTAATCCCTATGTAATCCTTATGTTTTCCAAGTAATACTTTACCAAATTTTAAAACATTATAGCTAAATTGCATCTTATTGTCCAAATTTAATGGTTTTAAAGCCAGAAATTCAACAAAACTCAATTGTAATCCCTCAAAATCCACGTGTAATTCCTGTTATCACGTAATCCTGCGTACATTCTGAATCAAAGTGGTGGCCCCCTCGCATCTCATAGTAGCACAAAAATTGAAAATACAATTGTTGCATCGATAGTTTTCTCTACTGTCAAGAATTTTGTGTAATTTAAAACAACTTTAATGACTTGTTTTAGCTTTCATGAGCACGGTGCGCTTGACATCCCTGCTATGGTAGACTATATCCTGCATACTACACGACTACAATCTTTGGCATACGTTGGGCATTCTATGGGTTCTACTTCGTTCCTCGTGACGGCAGCCGTGCGGCCGGAGTACGACACTCGCATCCATGGAGCCTTTCTCATGGGTCCAGTCGCCTCCCTTGCGGATCATAAACTGTCACCTCTGCTTAGCGTTCTACACGCTTTCGAAAACGTTACTACGGTAAGATAAACAGAAGTACACCTTTCTCTTAAGTTTAATTTCTACACTGTCCAAAGTGAAGTGAATATTCTCGTCATCTACACATGTTTCAGAATGTTGAAGATTCATTTGGACCACACATCCTCCCCGGCTCAGACTTCCTTTTACGTTTCCTTGGTGGTTTGGTGTGCCGCGCGTTCGTGCCTTCAGATAAGCCCAACTTCAATTGCCTCCCTTTGAATGTAGTTGGGTACTTCTTGGGCGGAGCGGGAAAGGTGGTATGTTAAACGCGTTGTTCGTGTGTACACACACACTGGATGGCTCACAAACCCCGGAGCATAATTGTTTACCTACTGTACCGCTTCGCATGCAGACGTGTGGGCCGGTAAAATTATTGAACTTTCTCAAGTCTAAAAAATTGTGCTACCTTAGTAAAAATATAATGTCAAGTCGCATAATGTATAAATTAGGGTGACAATCGAGTGAAATCGGGCCTTGCTGTTCGGTTTGCTGCTTGCTTCCCGACAGCACTCCCTGAAGCTGATGCACCCCTACTTCTTGGCTGCATCAGCTTAAGCGGGAAGCAGACAGCAAACAGCAGACAGCAAACAGCAGACAGCGGATAGTAAATACCGATGATTTCAAAACTATACGTCCAATTTCGTTATGAAATCTTATTTTTATCATTCAAATATTATAGTATGAACTTAAAAAATATAAATATGCGTACAAATCGGGTGTAAATCGGGAGATGCTGTTCGCTGTCGTGCTGCTGTTCTGACAGCTCCGGCAGCACTTTCCGATTTGACCTGATTTGAGCACATATTTATCATTTTAAAGCTCAGAAAATAAATATGAGAGACCATCAAAAGATTTCCTGCTGTAATATTGATGAAAATTGGTAAAACCGCCGGTATTTACTATCTGCTGTCTGCTGTTTGCTGTCTGCTTCCCGACTGCTTCCCGCTTAAGCTGATGCAGCCCTTCACATCGTCGTTATTCTGTAGCTACTGCATCCAGCGATCCAGCCGTGCGGGTCGGTGTGCCTACCGTTCTCACGCCACGGCTTCTTATGGCATGGCCCACTCTTGCGCGTCCACTCACACCGGTCCACACGTCCTGACGTCGGCATGCTAGACTGAACTACGAAATATTCGGGGTCTGTGTGTGTACACCTACATGGTCTGCTAGCCTGCTAATTTCTTGTGTCTTCTGACGCCGTAGGTATATCCCGCTGACTTTCAACACTACGTTCCTTCGGGTGTGGCTATCATGGAAATAAACCACTATGCGCAGTTGGCCAACCCCCACTGTAAGAAGATTTTCATGTAGCCAGGCCAAACATCGTATATCTTGGGCCCCCTAATTCTTTTAAGGGGGCAATATGAGTTAAAGCAGTCCCAAATGACCTAAATTTGGTTTATATTTGATGCTCTTGGGATCCATGTCGGGCAGTGGGTTGGCCCCGGGAGGCAACTACTTTTTAGTAACCCTTCGACAGTAATTTGATCCTGGGGATAACCACTATTTCATTTCCTTCCCTTCTACTGCGCTGGGGCCAGCTTGGCTGTACATGACAAAAAGACGGGTCAAAATGCATTCCTTAACATTGAGCGCATATTTTTATTATTTTTTTACTCGTTCTTTACCACCAACCTACACCTTCTCGGTGGTGGAAGAACGAGTATTGTTCTCAGTGCAGTGTAACACCAAACATGATTCCATATTCATCTCAGAACATAGAATACCTACAAACCTAACACTTATACCATTTGAAACTGGGAATGCCGGTGTTTCTTCAAAGTATGAACTATTTTTTGAGTTTAATAGGATATTTTTGAGAACACTTAACAAATCTCACCGATTTTCGTGCTAAGTCCCTAACCCAGCTTATTAGTGGACATTTTAATCTCAGAAGACACAACAGCTACAAACATAAAAGTACTACTATTCAAGATTAGGAACCTTCCTGCTACTTTTAACATTTAACTTTTTTCATGTTTAATAGTATTATTTTGAGAACTCTTAACAAAAAATTTGAGGGTTTTCAGTCTAAGTCCTCAAGCCACCGAGCCAGCCGCCCTCGGCTGCGTTCGGGCCGTTCGGGCCCTGCCTCGTGCCCCATTGTTGGGGCTTCCCCCTCGGCCCCGTCCTCCCTTCGATGAGTGTTGTTGTATAGTTGTCTCTCTTTTCATTACTTCAAAAATGCAGTTTCAAGTGGTAATAAGTTTTATGTTTGACAATATTCTATATTCTGAGATGAAGATACAATAATTTTAAGAATATCGTAAAGAACGAGTGTCCATTTTCCCACAAAAGTAATTTTGTGCTTTCTTCTCCCTTGTTTTTAAATTTGCTCTGATCCCTTCCTTTTCCTAATTTTCTTAGTTGATATATCCGGGCAAGTCCTGAACCAAAATTTAACGTATCTGAAAGGTTTAAAAAAAATTATTGTTTGTTTGCATTGTAGAAGTTATACAGAAAAGTCAAAATGCTTGAAATGGTTTGGTTCTAGTCTAGTTCGGGTACAGCCAAGCTGGCCCCATGGACAAAAGGGAAGTAAGTGGTCACCCCCAGGATCAAATTACTGCCAACGCTGATTAACTAAGTGTTCAACTGCTCAACACCTGTAAGTGTGCAACTGCAAGTCGAATACGTGCAAATAATGTGCAAGTCCGTAGTTGTACACTTGCAAGTGTTCAACTAGGTAGGTCGGTTGAACACTTCCTTAGATTGAACGCTCACTGAGTAGGAAGTGCTCAACCAAGGAGTTGCACATTTGCAAGTGCACACCTAAGGAGTTGAACACTTGCAAGTGTACAACTATGGACTTGCACACTTGCAAGTATTTAACTTGCAATTGCACACTTGCAAGTGTAGAACAGTTGAACGCTTAGTTTATGAGTGAAATGGTTACTTAAAAGTAGTTCTTGCCCCCCGGGACTAATAACCCACTTCCCAACATGGCTCCCATGTGCATCAATCATGATACAAATTTTGGTCATTTGGGACAGCTTTCACTCATATTTCTCCTCTTCATTAAGATATTTTGTAACCCACCAGGGCCAGGATTCCGTCAATACAACCATGGTCCAACAAAAAATCGCCAGCTTTACGGACAGAATTCGCCACCTGACTACGACCTTACTTCGGGCAATTTCCCCGTGTTCCTATACACAGGAAAGAGTGACATCTTCGTAACCAAGCAGGTACTGAAAACAAAAACGGTGAAATCTTTTACTCATTTAATAGTTGCGTCCACGAGTTCCTTTATCCTGGTTTAAGATAACTTATTCTAAATATATCAAAATGCCATTCTTTTTCAGAACTTGGAATTTCTTCGGATTTCCTTTAGAAACTTTAGGAAACTCTACACTGTGCCAGACAAGAGTTTTGGACATTTGGATTTTGTCCTGAACCCCGAAGCGTCGGCTCTCTACGACGACATGATCGACGACCTCAACAGTCTACTTCGTGAACAACAAGAATCAAAACGGAGTAGAGCAGATGTTAATTAGTTTTTACGGTGGTCTCAGAGGTGCAGCATTTTTAGTTGCTCCTGGCTAGAGGGGGGGGGGGCTTCTGTCAACAAACGATAAGTTAAACTGCGAATTGCCAATGTAATATGTAGGTTTCTTTCTCAGGCCTGGGAGGAGGCGATGCGAATGGCTAATTAACCTAGGACAATATCTAGTAGGTTCATGTCACTTTTTCGGCAGCAGGATGGTCAAGTC